ACAAAAAAACACCATCGACGATTACCTGCCGTTATCTGACCGAGTTGTGATTCCTAAGCGATTCCTAACGGGATACGTGTAATGAACAGAATAGAAATCGACTAAGACACGGATCTTGACTCACTTGGAAGTTTAGCAGAGTCAGTTTGTTGGCCTGACAAAGGATTAAATTGTGAGTTGTCACTAACAGTGACTGGCATTCCACAGCACGTATGAGTTTCTCCCGTATCCGGTAATGCATATCCGTAGGTTGATCCGTTGAAGGCTCATATATCAGGATTTTATCTGGAAGCTGTATCTGTGATGAAAAGTGTTGCAAAAATATTGCCGAACAACGGTACTTACCGCAAGGCGATTTTTGTACACCGATATATTCCTCACGTAATCTCGACACTTTATACGCGCTGTCAAAGGAAAGGATTGATGGAGATCAGGGAACTGTGGTTCTTGTGAGTATAGAATGTAATCGCTTCTCTGTTTCAGCACTGTCAGGTCCACCATCATAATTGTGGCTAAAATTCGAACTTCCGAAAGACGACGCATGTGGGATTAAGCAGGAAGTGTTACGCTTGTTTAAGCAACCCATTATTTCAACACAGGTAAGCTTTCCAGTCCCGAAGAATATAGCGCCAGCCACCTGTTGGTTGGACGAAGTGAAGCTGAATGGCCCTATGCTGTGCAGCATTGGGGAATAGACGCTTGTTACCTAAAGTTAAGCAGTATTATCAGGTAGAAGTGGGTTTGGAAATGGGAACCCAGGACTCTTGTTCCTGGTGGATTGCAACTTCCTAGTTAACTGAATATAAATAGTGGTGAACTTTGAGCTTACATGGGGAAAGACGAGAAACGTGTGTGACAGCCCTCGAATTATCCCTAAATGGTGTTTTAAACTCACCTTTCTGTTGAGTAACCAAATGCTGCACAACCACATCCGTCAGTGACTCCCGGTAGGCGTATCGGTCACGATAGACACTGTGTACGGCGTTGAGTGACAACTGAATTGTTTCAAGACTACCGTCTTGACATCCCACGGTCTGGAAAATAAAGGCAAGCTACAATTGGGAATACAGCGTGTCCATCTTATACCACCGAACCGAAGGTTCGTAGGATCAACAGGAGGTCGTGGTTAGCACTCACTAAAGTACCTCACGCAGCCCAATGGTCTAGAGGCCATTGTGTTCGCTGTCAAACAATGCGTTCATGCTTCTACTCCTGAGGGTCCAGATACGGACGAAACGGCTCTGGGGTGCTTTTCTGAGTCAGGGACAGCGTAACTCTCTACAGCATAACTAATTAGACAACGTGTGAACATTTAGGCGCCTGTCTTCATGCTACTCGTTTGGCCAACATCCACCTTAACCCAACTATCTGATTAATACTCCAGTGCGGTTCGTCCACAGCGTCTTGAACAATGCACTCTTAGTTCACTCTTCTGTCCACCTAGCCTGCCACCAGAAAGCTGCCTTGAGGTATTTCCCCCCAATTGTCTGAGCAAACAAGGAATAACCCCGGTTTGTCCCGCAGTCCCTGCGTGGGAAGTTTCAGCCTGAGGGTCTAAGTCTTTTAAATGCGTGTGGAAATAGTCAACTTGTGTAGTATTCGTATACGTTTTTGTTTCTAATTGAGATACCATGTGCGCCAGACCGAAAGCACTGCAATTCCAACGTACGAGTTGGTTTATATGTATCGTGGGAGACTACCCTGGTAGACAACATATTCCACATGATTGGTAAAATTGTACACAACACTTCCAAGAAATGTTGGCTTCAAAAAACTGTTGGCCTTCCTAAAATAATCTGTGTAGTTTAGGAATGAGAGAAAAGTGGACAGTGTTTTCGGCAAAAATGAGGGATCTTTTCACTCTGGTCCGCAGCCATGGGTAAAAGCATCCTGTAAAACTGCAGCAATTAGTCAAGAACTTCAGATCATCAAAGGAAAGGTGAAACGGTATTAAGGCAGACGAGGCAGTATCACTTACAATCTGGTCTCTTCCAGGTCGAGCACAGCAACACCATATCCATGACTGCTGACGAGTAACAGGGGCCAGGCGGTTTCCTTCAAGGTTGTACAACGCACAAGATCCATCCGAACCACATATCGCAAGCATCTCGTGTTTCGATCCGAACCACGATAGGCCGCAAGGGTCGAAGGAAAGGTTGCGGTCTTTTCCAACCTGCCGGTATTGGGGTGTAAACAGAACGAACACCTGTGAGTGGACGGCAGGCGGAACGGATACATCGGATGCAATACTGTTCAGCACTCTCCGATTACAAAGTAGTAGGGGGAGTTGAATGGTATACGTAGAAATACGTCACATCTAGACTCACTCAGACATCGATCACACGCCTAGTAAAGCACGGTATGGCTGTTGCATCTTTCGGTACTTGTCAGCAGTGAGCATTCCATCTGAACTTTGTAGAGCTCGAACCCGCAACTCAAATGTTGCCAGTCTGTGCTTGAGAACATCTAGCAACGGGAACAGCAAAGACAGTCTTGACGAAATTACTATACGTGATATAGCGCTATGTTACATATACGGTGTCTTTTATTATTTACGTGCGAGGCTAGGAGCGACTGCATTCAGGTGCTGACGTACACCGTTCCGCTGAATTGCTAACTGTCCAATAGCGAAAAATGCTTTGCAGGGGTGAGATAGAGCACAGAGGTGAGACATATGTGTCTAAGATCGTAGGGCTCACCGAACCGTTCGGCTGTGAGAAGTGAACGTTAGCAAACACCAAAACTGGCTAGCCGAACAACCTTCTCGTTGTGCCAGCTGGGTGGTTCGGGTTGAATCCGTTCCATCACATAGTTCGGCGGCAGTGTTCTAGGATGTGGTGGATTTTCGCTTGGCAAGCGTTCTCCATATAAAAAGCCACAAATGTCCTTTTATCAACACTGTGACTTGGCGAACGTTACTCGTCACAAACTAACTCACTGTCCTGTGGATGCCTGGATAATTACCTCCAATCCACGGACATCAATCGCCTATTCTTACGTGGCCGTCGCTTTCAAACAGCCACCAATACAACGACACACTTACAAACACAAGCTACAGGCTACACTTATGCACAATTACACACACCCATGCACACATGCACCGTTATGACAAGCATGTTGTATTCTGGTACATTTTTGTTCACACTTTGTTATCATAACAAGATCATGCCTGTAAAGGCATGCCACGCGTTGCCGAGAAGGAAAACATCGGCCTGACATGCGTCGACCGCAGGGCAAGACCAACGGAACGCAGGCCGTTCGGCTGTGTGAAGTGGACGTTAGCCAGACGCTACAGTTACAATGAATGTCATGCTTCGATCGATCGGTAGTCTGCCATCACGCGGGTGAAAAAGCCAGAAAATGCGTTCCCTGCAAAGTGGTTCGTGTGTCACTGTACTAGCAACGGAGAAGGAGCTTACACCCGTGTCGCCAATGTTTCAGCAACCGGTCAGGTAAGGCGCCGGTCCATCAGTGCATGGTCGTTGTGCAGCTGTATGGTGAGTGTGCGTCCAACGCGGGCGGAAATCGCAAGGCGCTATAATAGTATGCACTGCTGTACGCCGCCCATTAATGAGCGGTATGTGCGCCGAGTGGTGAATAAATTCGCAGAAACTGGCAGCGATCGCAACATCAAACAAAGCGGACGGCCTCGCGCCGTCACAGATGAAGTATCAGCTTACGCGGCTGCGCAAGTGGTATGCAGTAACAGCCAACTCGGCGGTCGGTAACTCGCACAAAATTGTGAAACTACACCTGTGCTGTGCATTGGATATTGAAGGAAAAAGTTTCGGCGACGCAGTGTACTGCATCATCATCATCATCATCATCATCATCATCATCATCATCATCATCATCATCATCATCATCATCATCATCATCATCATCATCATCATCATCATCATCATCATCATCATCATCATCATCATCATCATCATCATCATCATCATCATCATCATCATCATCATCATCATCATCATCATCATCATCATCATCATCATCATCATCATCATCATCATCATCATCATCATCATCATCATCATCATCATCATCATCATCATCATCATCATCATCATCATCATCATCATCATCATCATCAGCATCATCATCATCATCATCATCATCACCATCATCATCATCATCATCATCATCATCATCATCATCATCATCATCATCATCATCATCATCATCATCATCATCATCATCATCATCATCATCATCATCATCATCATCATCATCATCATCATCATCATCATCATCATCATCATCATCATCATCATCATCATCATCATCATCATCATCATCATCATCATCATCATCATCATCATCATCATCATCATCATCATCATCATCATCATCATCATCATCATCATCATCATCATCATCATCATCATCATCATCATCATCATCATCATACACGTTAGCTAGAGGTGGGGAACACCTCAGCTACTGTGCCGCAATGCATAGAAAAAAGGAGAAAAAAAGCAACTGGTGCAAGCTGGCTGAGCTACCCGTAACGGATGGGCATCGTTCCGGTAAGCTACCAGCCGGCTGCTGTGCACCCAAAAAGAAAAAAAATTATATAAGGCTAAATAATGAGATCGTGGTTGGAGGGGGAGGCTAAGAGGGATGGGGTGGGACAAAGAAATTCACAGCACGAACGCCACTGAGGTCGGCTCCTAGCCATATCAGCAAGTGTGTCCAACCAAACGTGTTCAACTTCTGTCGGACCCCAACCAGGGGGCCGAGACGCTCCAACCGACGCCAGCTCAGAAGTGAGGGCCTTCATTCCTCTGGACCAAGTCATCGCTTGACCACCCTTCCTCTTCTTCCATCCACACCCCCGGCGCGCAAACAATACACGGCGCGGGAGTCGGTGGGCTGGCATGCGTAACACGTGGCCGAGCCATCGGAGCCTGATGCGTGAAATAACGGTGCTGAGCGGTTCATTTCCTTTTCCTGGGCCATAAACAAGGCGTCGAACACGCTCGTTGGTCACGCGGTGTTCCCACCAAATGTGAGCTAAATTACGAAGGCACCGGTGGTCGAACGTAACTAGCCGCTTCAGGTCCGCTGCTTTAAGCGGCCAGGTTTCAGAACCGTACAGTAGGGTCGTACTGCAGGGTGTACTGCAGGTAGAACTGTTGAACGCATGCGATACGCAGAAGCGACTGGAATTTGCCCTTTTGTTTTATAGGCTGAACGCTCATTTCATTTTGTTCACCGATGAAGTGGTTTTCTCTCTGCGTGGCAAAGATAGGCAACAGGTTTGGGCAACAACCGACCCACGGCAATGTCGCGCATCAGGTGTGCAACCTAGCGCGAAGCTCATGGCCTGGGCTGGGTTGATTATTCGAAAAATAATTGGCCCTTTTTCTTTTCCAGGAGGGTATCCGGTAGGTTGTTGTTTAACAGTAATAACGTCTGACATTTCTTAGCAGCCTCGTACATGGAAATGTTTCAGCGCAGTGTGATCCCGTGGCGACAGTCGGAAAGGTTAATGAATACCGTTGTTGGCAGCAGGATGGCGTACCTGCACATTCGGCGCAATTGCTTCGTGCCTACCTGTTACGTGTTCAAACAATGATCGCTCACTATGACCGTGAACCTGATTGGCCCTACACACACACACACGCATACACGCACTCAAGGACACACCCTAACGTTCCGTGCTCACAGGTAAACCGTTAAGTGTTCAGTATACTGTGCGCCAGACTGACGCGTCTTCTTGCTTATTCGCTACGAGTTGAAATACGTACTTGCGGTTAGAGTCTAGTTGTGATATCCTGCGACGAGGTCAACATGTCCATGACAAATACTCCACCGGTCTTCTGGTCGTGCTCTACCGACAAACCTTCCCTGGACTAGTGGCATAGATGGCGGAAAACCTTTACGGATTGCTTGGAATTGCTTCCAATCTTGAATCCAGCAGTATCTCTTACTGAGAAAAACAAAGTGAAGCTCTTGAGACAGTTTCTTGGAGATGAGGGTCAAATGTATTTCGATGCACTTCGTATTGATCAAATCTCTTCTACGATAACCGGCGCTTTGGAAACCTTCAGTGCTCTTTGGGGTGCTCGTCAGAATGTTTTTACGGCTAGATACTATTTCTCGAAACGCTGCCAGACACCAGATGAGAGTGTGAACGAGTTCATCGCTCGTGTACTACAAGCAGCACCTGATTGTAAATACAATGAAGTCGATCCAACGAGATCTGAAGAGACCATGTTACTCCAATGTTTGATAGCCGGAATTTCAGACCAGAGCACGCGGGAGAAGCTCCTTTCACAAGATGATTGTTCACTGACCTGGGAGACGACCTGCTCGATTGCCCGGCAGAGGGAACACCTTACACAACAACTCGCAACATTTACGCTGAAGGACTCGTCAGATGAGCTGCGATTGATTAACACTACACCAAAACCAAAGCCACCCACTGGCGTCAATTTGTTTGTGTGCTATCGCTGTGGTGAGCAGCACAGTTGTCCATCCGACTGCCGGCATCAGAAGACTATGTCGAAGCTGCGGGAAGGTGGGCCACTTGGCGCGAGTGTGTAGATCGGTCAAGCGACGTTCAGGTGGGGCTTATCGAGGAGCAAACCCCATCAAAACTGTGGACGAGTCTGATGGTAGCGACCCTGAATTACATTCCATTTGGCTTAATTCCGTTTCCAGCATGCAGCCGGCGCCATACACTCTAGAGCTTTACATTGAAGGACAAAAGCTACAGATGGAAATAAATACAGGAGCATCCGTGACGGTAACCCGGGAAAACGCTGTAAAAAGGCTCCCGAACTTATCCGCTTGCAATTCTGTTCTTCGCACATACACCGGTGAACCTATACGTGTCCTTGGTAAATGCTTCGTGAAGGCACAGTATGGCGACAAAATACGCACACTTCCTGTATATGTGGTCCCCGGGGATCGTCCAAATCTGCTTGGAAGAGACTGGATACGTGCTTTCCCGGATACAATGAATGTGGTAAAATTAGTCACCGAGATCTCCGGACTTGAAACATTACTTAAACAATATTCAGCGGTTTTTTTCCGAGGAGCTTGGGAAGTTGAAAGAATTTCAGGCTGCGATAAAACTAAAGGAAGGCGCTCGACCAAAATTCATTAAGGCGTGCACACTACTATACGCTATGAGGCCTAAAGTTGAAGAGGAACTAAACC